GTGTGCAAAAAAAAAGTAGACTCACATTAGGGTTTTTGAGTTCTATGATGTTGCTCTTAGTAGGAAATTTGACAACTCTCGCTAACGGCACCTTTGTTCAAAATAGGGACTTGTAATTCGGTCTCCCTCCGTCTTTGCATATGCCTATAGCACTTTATCTGGGATATATGCACATGCAGCAGTGGTTTACTGATTCAATCCAAGATGGCTGACTTTTCTTATGCATGCTTTGTCAGTTCTTGTTCAAATTTGGTACATACCGTACATTATACATTTTAGATTACTTGTCCACAACAATTTGTTTCACAATTGAATCGAAGATGGCCGACTGGCAGCCATTTTGATTTTTGAAAATGTGGTATCTTATGCATGCTAAATGTAAATTTTTGTTCAAATTTAATACATACATTGTACATTTTTGATTACATGTCCATGACAATTTGTTTTACTGTCTGATCAAAATGACCAACTGGCAGCCATCTTGTTTTTTCTCATCAAATTATACATGTATCCTACATATCCTTAAAGCGTGGTGGTCGACACGCAGCGAGTGTTCGAATTTCATGTAAATAAACATTGTATTTTACACGCGTTGTATATGTCCCATATCGAACAGGACGCGGCAAGACGACTGCCGCCATTTAACAATTAGTTTCACAATCAGGTCAAAGATGGTTGACCACCTGCAATCTTGTTTTTTGACCATACTACTACAATGTACGTCTCTATACATGAACCCAGACAAAGGAAATTCAGTTTGGATACCAAAAATGAGTGAATAGCATATTCTGTTTAACTTCTGACCATATATTTGGATTTTTGAAGCATACGGTAATTTAAAACATCTAATTCCAACAGGCACTATGTCATCAAAATGACTTGTTTTATATACGGTAGCATTGCCTTGCTTCTGTTGAGAAAATGGAAAATGCAATTTACATTTTTTTTTTTCATATTTCATTCTCTTCATATTCAAGTTTTTATCAGTGTATATGTAGACCACTATCTTGACTCTCCAGCAAGTATAGGTATAGAGTACGTCATCATAGAGTACGTCATCTGTTGCGAAAAATTGAGAAAATGATTTAATCAATAACTTCTAAAGTAAGACTTCAATATGTGAAACATTTTTGAACATGTTAGCACATCAATTATGCCAACAATACGTATGAAATAGTTGTCATGGCAACAGAACTGAAATATTTATATTACATCAAATGCTCAATTCTTGGTTATATTTCATATAACTTATTAATAAGAGTAGGTTATACAGATTATATGCAATTTTCAACAACAAAAATAAGCATTTTTATTTATCTTGTGTCTGCAACATTCTAACTTCCATTTAATATTATTTAATGTTCTTTAATGTTCTAATGTCATACCGTATTTATTC